GCCCCCGACGGAAGGAGAGTGCCTTCCCGAGTCTGCTTGGGCGTGTGCTGGCCCCGCTTATCCCGATCCGTCCTGGAGCCGCTCCCAGCGCTGCCCTCGGCCTTCCAGCACTCCGTCGGGCTTGCCCCGACCCGGGGTCCGGTGTGACTCGAGTTTCCTGCTTTACACAGGCCCTGGAAGTACGCCAAGGCGCCGCTTGGTTTTCCCCGACATTCACTCGAAATAGCTAAAAACCACCATCATGCATTCCCAACCCGCCCACTTTTTATTTAAAAGTTGAGGCTTTCCTATGCGCCATAAACTGTCACAGGTGTTATAAATGTATTGATTGCTGTATGCTCATAAACTCTAATGAGTTGTATGCCACTTTTTCAGCATCCTCATTTTATAGCTGAGAAGTTGGTAGATGGCTAACTCAAAATGAAAGGTTCAGAGAGTGGAGCCAGGATTTGAACTCAATCTGATTCCAGCAAGTGGACTATTAATCTGCCACATTTCAGAAGGCTTGCTCCAGTGTGTTGAATAAAACCATGGAATGCACGCAGCCTTATAACATATAAGGACAATTTTGAAGTACTGATGTACGGTAACCTCTGGGGTATATGGTTAATTTAAAACACACACACACACAAGCAAAGTACAGTATGGTAAAGAAGGGGAAATGTGTGTGTGTACACATATACTTGTTTTTGCATTTTAAAAAACCTCTGACACTAAAACTAGACCCTAAAAATATGATTAACCATAAAGGGCAGAAAGGGATAAAGATCACAGTGAGAACTTTCTTTGTAGTGAGAGTTTTAACTATCAACCATGATGTCTTACATATTCAAAAAAAGTAAAAGAAAAAAGTAAACTTAACAGTAAAAGCATAACCAAACCAATATACCTAACTGTATATTAAATTGGTAACATAACATCACAGAGAAAAGTGATTTTTTGAACAGTTTTCTGTATATTTTCAGTGAAATATATTATAAAGACAAAAAACTGCAAAGAAAATTTGAATTTTTATGTCTGAAATAAAAAGAAACAGTCAATTTTCATTGTTTGAGGTAATTTTCTTCTACATAGTTAGTGGTCACCAACATTGGTTTAACGAATGCTCATCGTTCCTAGGTTCCTATGAGCCTTTCCTCACATTTTCATTAACTGATCAATACATAAGCTTGTTTTCCATGTATTTCTGTATAAAAACACCTACTATATATTTTTGAACCATGAACATTGACTAAGGCCCCCAGCACGATAATTTGTACTTGTACCTGAGGAAGCTTATCTAACGTATTTTCTCCCTAAGGCACATTACAGTCTTCCTGTGCCTTGGAGTACTAGCCAGCATGTCAGCACTATGCTTGGAAGCCACTTAAACAACAAAATCACCAAGAGAAATCACAAAATATGTAATATGTGGCACTAAATGTATCTCAAAAAATCACTTTTTAAAAATAGTATGAGAAATGAAACAAAAAAGTAAAATGTCACCTTGTTCAAATTCACCTGGGAACATGTGTGATGGGCAACAAATTTTCAATGCTTTGCAAATGTTCACAAATGATTATGAAAGATCCCAATATTGATTTGGGTGTTACAAGTAAATTTTAGTAAATAGATTAATTCACAAATATAGAATGCACAAATAATGAAGATTGACTATATCTGCTTAACTACCAGAAGGATAAACAAGAAAAAAATGGGCCGTGGCCTGGTAGCTCAGTTTGTTAGAGTGTCCTCATACACCAAGGTTTTGGATTCAATCCTGGGTCAGGTCACATACTACAAGAAACAACCAATGAATGCATAAATGGGTGCAACAAATCCATGTTTCTCTCTCTGATTCTCTCTCTCTCTCTCTCTCTCTCTCACACACACACACACACACACACACACACACACTTCCTCTCTCTCTAGAAATCAATCAAATAAAATTTTAAAAAATGAAGGACAAATGGTTATTTGGAGCAGGAAAGTGGAAAGAATCTATAGTAATAAAAGGGTAATATACTAATTAGACCAAATAGACAGGGCGTCCTTCCAGACAAAGCCATGGTGGCAGGGACTGAGACAGAGATGGTTAAGGGCAATCAGGACGGCCGGGAAGAGCGGTTAGGGGTGATCAGACCAGCAGGGGAGAACAGTTAGGAGTGATCAGGCCCACACGGAAAAGCAGTTAGGGGCATCAGGCAGGCAGGCAGAGGCAGTTAGAGGTGATCAGGCCGGGAGCGGAGAGCAGTTAGGGACAATCAGGCCGGCAGGCAGAGACGGTTAGGGGTGATCAGGCCGGCAGGGGAACAGTTAGGGGCATCAGGCAGGCAGGCAGGCAGGCAGGTGAGCTGTTGGGGGCCAGCAGTCCCGGATTGCGAGAGGGATGTCCTACTGCCGGTTTAGGCCCGATCCCTGGCATCGGGCCTAAACCGGCAGTCGGTCATCCCCCGAGGGTTCCTGGATTGGAGAAGGTGCAGGCCAGGCTGAGGGACCCCTCGGCCCCATACATGAATTTCGTGCACCGGGCCTCTAGTAAGAATATAAAATGCTAAAACTATTAGACAAAAGAGAAAAGGATATTTGCACAGTCCCAAAGTACCACCCTACAGACTACTAGTTAATAATACACAGACAAAACTTTTAAAATGAATCTTCAGAGGTTACCACCTTAACCAAGCATCAAACTTGCCTCACAAATAATGGACTAATTTTACATTGTTACTGTTATGATACAATATACAGCATCACTTCTGAAGTATTCTTGCCAAAAATGTTAACCTCAATTTAATCAAGTCTTGATCTTTCAGTTTAAGGAAATAATATTTAACTATCTCTCAAACTAACCATTTCTATCTCCATGGCTGGGGCCCTTACTAGGACACCAATCTTGCCATCAGGATAAACTTTCTAAAAGATAATTCTTATACTGCCGCTTCCTGCTTCCTTACTTTTAAAACACTCCAAATCTCCTCTATTTGGATAAAGTGAACAGGTCATTTCTTTCTTTCTCTCCTGTTCCATCTGCTAGGAGCACTTCTCTCCCTCTTCACCTCCATTTGCCTAAACAACTTCCACTCATCCTTTAGTTCTTAGTTTAGATTTTACTTTCTCTTGGGAACATTCCCTGACTCCCAAATCTGAGTTAGGGACCCTCTGAGTTTCATGTCTGGAGTGATGCTTTAGAGAATTAGCATGCTTCTTGGGGGAGAAGATCCATAAATCTGTAAATGGAATTATTCCAGTAACCATAGGAGTTTAAATCCAGAGGATTATGAGATTATAAACCTTCTAAGAATTCACAAAAATCTTCATGAGGGCGTTGGAATTCCACTGCAGGTAGGAAAGGGATTCCTGGGACAAAGGTTATGTTATAGAAAAACCGGACCAGAACCATACAGCGCTCTGAGAGTTTGGAGTTATATTTTATTTACCGCGGCGGGCCTAGGGAAATGAATCCAAATTTAAGTAAAGTTATAAGCAGAACTTCCCTTTTTATAGAAGAGCTTTGTGTGCTTACTGGCCGCGGCCTTGAAAACTACATAGTTCTATTAATTAAAAAATGCACCTGGCATGGCATTGGGTGTATCTAGTCTCTGGCCTACAAGGTCAGACAGCTAAGTTGATCTCCCCCACTATTCAAGCAGGCTAGAAAGCAAAGTTACTTTTTCAGAATAAGAGGCCATCTAAAGAGTAGCAGAGAATTCCAAACAGTAGTTTTACGGAATAGGGGTTTTCCTTCACAGTTACATATATTAATAACAATGACTTCTACCGCTGCTGCTGCCATTTACTGAGCACCTAGCTGAGCGCTTACACCAGAGCAGTGCTATGTGGTATCCAACTTGCTGCCTTACATACTGGCCGCCCAACTATCCAAAGTAAATGTCCTAATAATCAAGTTATATTATTCACTCCCTGCTTAAGATCTTTGGGCTCACACTTAAAGTTCAGACTTAGCATTACAAACAAGGCTTTGTGATTGCCTATTCCAACTTTATCCTTGGCTGCATCCCACATTCATTCTATAGCCATACTGAACTATTTATAGTTAGTCAGAAAAACTCAAGTGTCTCCCTTTGTGAACCTCCTTCCCCAATAGATCACACCTTTCCTTCCTGTTTTTCTCCTGTATTTTGTCCACATTTCTACTATACTTCTCAACCCATATGGCATTAATTTCCTTACATATGTTTTCCTCTGACTGGACTTTGAAGCCCCTGTAGTAGAACTATGTCTTATGCACCTTAAAATTTTCTTTGTTACAGTCATCTGAGGGCGGTAGAGTAGGAGGATGCTGCACGGACATACTCCCAGGAACAAGCTGGAATTACAACTAAAATACAGAAAAACTTCCTGAATAATCAATGGAAAACTCGCAGGAGGGAACCATGATATCCCAGGACAGAAAGTAGAGACCGCATAGAGACTGGTAGGAGGGGCGGAGGCACAACAGGGCTGGCCGGGTGCCCACAGACAGCAACTGAAGTCCCAGAGAGATATCTCAGTTGTGGGGGGTTGCCACTGAGAACTCTGGGATCTAATCCCAAAGCTGACCTCCCCAGCAGAGAGCACCAAACTGAGGAGGGTACACACATAATATCCAGCTATGAAAAGCAGCTTTTGGGGTGCTGTCTGCAGGGAGTGACAGCTGAAAATTCAGGCACCCTCTTAAAGGGCCAATGCATAAAATTCCCTGTGGAGCCACCCCCCTTGTGCTCTGGCAGAGGGAGGGTGAAGTGGATGTACTCCACATGGGCAAAGGGACCTGGTGTAGGTGTCGTTTATGTCTGTGACTTAGAAACAGGTAGGCTTTCGAGATCAGCTAAAAAGTAGCTTTTCTTTTGCTGGCAGTTGTGTGGAGTTGGTGTTGATGGTGGCAAGTGTTTTGTGGGTTTTTTTTCTAGAGAATCAGTGCCTGTGGAGAGACTTAAAACCCTACCAAAAGCAACACCTGTCCCTCTTATCTATCATCAGGTCTCTCTGATGGGCAGTCCAGCCCTTGCTTAGGGAATTGTGTGTTATTCAGAACACTGTTCCGTCCAAATACTTTAGAGAAAAAAGTGTCATTTTTACTGAAAAGCCTTCGGTTTAAGGCACTCCTGTCCCATGCTTACACGTTTTACTTTATTTTTTAAGTATATTCTTACTGGTTTCAGAGAGAATGGGAGAGGGAGAAAAAGATAAAAACATCAATGATGAGAGGGAATCATTGATTGGCTGCCTCCTGC